ATATAATCATTCCAAACTACCATTCAAGAATGGAAACTGATGTAGCAAGCTGCAGATGTGACTGAATAGAAGCAAAGTGGAGCCTGCTGCATGCTCACAAAAAGAAAAGCAGGGTGTTGTTAAAGGGCCTTTGCAGTTGGCATTACTCACCCAGAGAGAGGGAAAGTAGCAAAGCATCTGTCATCAGCCATTTCAAAGGCTACTGCCCTAGTTAAGCTGTGTGAACTGGGGCACTCAAGTCTGAGTAATTCAGGGCTCTTTTTTTTTTTTTTTTTTTTTCAGCACATGTACCCAATCATTCTTGTTAAAAGGGAGGCCATCTCTTGACTCTGAATGTGTCATTTATCTTTTGGAAAATAATCTGTAACTTTCATCCAGCCAGTAAAACAGAAAGTGAAAAGGAAAAAGGAAATGTTACGTTTCCAGATTTAAAAAGATTGAACACATTTAATGAAAAGAAAAAGGATAAAAATTCCTGGGAGGCATAACTATTGTGTGTCCAAGTGTGTTTCCACACACTGCATCATGTGTGACTCCACAAATAAATTCCAGATGTTATGAATTAGTAAAGAGAATACCTACTTTCTATGATCCTATGTAATGAACATTGGATCTTGGAGTAGGGTAAAAAAACTACACTTTATGAAGATATTGTATTGAAATGCCAGCTAGATCTGAATTTGGCATCACTGATTTCAACTAGAGTTCAACAGTGGGCTCCAGAGTCTTTCAGGCACTGTCCTACTTTTGCCAGGCATCCTGCTACTCCTGCTTTCTCACTATAACTCAGTTATTCTCTCCAGCAGCGCACGCCATTGGTTCCTGTCTAGCGTGCAACAAGAGCAAGGGTAAAGCCAAATCTAAATAGAGCAAATGAAGGACATGTCACTGCTTGAGAACAGGAAGTTTTAGAAGTGTTATGCTGTGATTTGGAGCTGTGAAATCAAGGGTGTTTAGAGTGCATGGGAGAGGGTAGAGAGGGCAAAAGGGAGGGAAGGAGGGAGGGAGGGCTTGGGGGGAGGGAGGGAGGGAGGGAGAGGGAACTGGGATCGACATGTAAAATAATAATAAAAAAAAAAAAAAAAAAAAAAACAAAAAAAAAAAACAAAAACGCTTTGACTCCAAAATTTAAGTTGAAGAACAAGTTACTGGGGAAAAGTATTTCTATTTTTGTTTCCACAGAAAATGAAAAGATGTGGATTCCTTCCAGACTAATGTGGTTTGATCACACCAGACCGCCTGAAACAGAGTACAAGCTGATCCTACATTCCAAACAGCTGGACAAAACAGCCCTACAGACTACAGCTAGGATATCTGAATCTTCTTCGAATCCCCCAAGACAGCGCCCCTTACCAGCAGGAAGTAGTTTGGAAAGAACGACGCCCAAATTCCCAAATATTGTGTATAAATGTTTGTTTTCATTTAATTGGACTTTGTTATATAAAATTAAATAAAAAATACTCTATATGCATAAAAAAAAAAAAAAAAGAAAGAAAGAAATCAAGCTTCTGTTTCCAAATTCTGGTCACCGGTGAAGTAAACTTGGGCAAGTGATTGAGCCCTCTGTCACAGGCACCTTCAGATGTAAGATGGAGGCATTGACAACAGTACTTCATAGTTACTATGATAATTAAATGTGCTGATACATGTATGAAGCATTTAGGTCAGACAATAGTAAGTCCTCATTAAATAGCCACATGTGAAAACTGAGCTTGTGAAGGCAAATATCTCCTGCATTCAGAAGGCTGAGGCAGGGGTACTGAAAACTTTCAGCCACTTGGACAAAATAAATTCAAGACAAGTCAGTACTACATAGTGGGATTTTATCTAGGACAAAAAAGCACAAACAAACAAACAAAAAATAAAAACCTATTTGCATGCATGGTTTCATGTGATTATTCCCCAAAAATATTTCAGTTTACTTAGCATTCAGCCATAGACAGCAACCATTTATTTAATTTCCTCTCAAAATAAATTTACAGACTGTTTGCTTAACATTGACATGTATATCAACTTTAGAATCACCTTGTTAATGCCCAAATTCTTGGAATTTTTTAGTAAAATTTTATTAAAGATACACCTTTATCCAGGGGAATTATTCATGAATTTAATTTTGTCATATATATATATATGTGTATGTATATATATATAGTTTATCTGCATAGCCAAATTTCCTTGAAATGTGCCTTTAATATTTTATAAATTGTATATTCATGTAGAGAATATATTTTCCTATTATATTATTTTAATTCTTAGCTATTTCACAATTCCATCGTTTATCATTAAATAAAATGCATTCTTATTTCCTACTAAATGAAAATATTTAGCAAATGCTTTTTCATAGAGATGTCAAAAATTTTAGAATAAATATAAAACAATAAAAATTGTCAAACCACATTGTGAATTTAAAGAAAATTATATATATATATATATATATGTATATATATATATATATATATCTTAAGCAAAAGTCTCCTTCAAAGGATACAATTTTTAGTCCATTGTGCAGCGTATTTCCATAGAAAAATTGTACAATGGATAGTGTATTTGCTTCACCTGCCTTACATAAAGCATGAAAATGGAACCATCACATTCCAAACAGAAAGGCTAAGAATTTAAGGAACCTCTACACTTATTAGTGTTTATTAATGTATTATTAAACTATAGAATTCTAATGCCTGCTGCAGACCTGACTTCTTTTCTACATGCATGCCCAATAGCAGTCTCATACTTTAATAATTATCTCAATTACTATTATTTGCTTTTGTTCTATTTTTACCCCACACGCATGGGTCAGCGCTTAAATTGTGTTACTCATCACAGGTATTAATATCCTATTAACCCCATAAATAGAAATAGAAAATTTCAAAAAGCAAATAAAAATATTCTTAAAAATAGAAACAAAAGTAATTTTAGGAATGCTGTTTCAAGAATAGAAGTTGCGTCACAGTGTTTATCTTCTAGATGAAGAAAGAGAAAGCAGAGAAGTAAAGAAATTAAAGTATAGTGAGATAATTAGCCTAGTGTATGACAGAGGAGAATGAACTGAGAAAAGGTAGGTGGAAGGTGCACTGTTAGAAAAGTAACATCAAAAAGAGGCCTCAAATGAGGAGGTGGCATGAACACAGAGCTGAATCATATGAAAGTTCTGAAGGAAGCATATGTCAGGTAAACAAAATAAATACTAAGATTCAGAAGGAATACATTTTGTATTGTGAGAAGTAATATTAAGGCTAGTGAGCAGAGGAAAGAATTTGAGGAATGAAGTTAGGAAGGTAAGGCATGTCACATGGCCAGATCATTCAGCCAAGCACTTTAAAAATTTATTGTGCATCTAATTCATCTGGGATCTTGTTAAAATGCAAACTCCAGTTCAGAAGTTCTGGGGCTGAGCCAGGGCTTTACAGCTCTTCAGAGGGTTCCAGTGAATCCTATCTGTTATTACAAGGGCCAGCCTTTGACTTTCGGAAAGTTTCTGAGCTGTGCAAAGGAAGCTGAGGTTTCTTGTACATATGAATGAAAGCTATAAAAGGGCCTTGAGTGGGTATGGCCATAAATAAATATGCACATGCAAAGGCTCTCACCTACTGTGTCTATAAATAGCCTTGTTGTAGAGAATGCATGGAAGCAAGAAATTAGTGAGTAGACTACTTCGACTACCTCGTTTAGCCGACAGTTAAAGGGGCCTGTGTGATGTTGGCTGGGAAAGAGTTGTATAAATGAATGAGCACAGATAATAGTTTAATATTAGATGTGTGATTGAAAGACAGAAGAAACACCAGCTAAGGGGACAGAGCTAAGATAGGTGGCTATTGCAAATCCCTGTGAAGAACTCAATAACTCAACAGGAGCCAAATCAGAGACTGACAAAAAGACCAAGCCAATACCACTGAGATGAAACTGAAAATTTATGGTTTGATGTAGAATGATATGTTATCACCAATTTGATTTCTTGAGTTGATGGCCAGGAAGAGCAAAGAGGAGGTACTAAATTAGATGCAATTATAAGACAACTCTTGCAAGATTGTTTTTCCTTTAAAGAGGACTAAAGAAATGTTTATACGTTTATTGGAATAAAAGCTCATAGAAAATACTAATGATGCAGGGAAGAGTGATGTGGAGAGAAAAAAGTAGTAAAAAGAAAGCAGAGTAGACATAAGTAGAATCTCTTGTAAGTAGATAGATGTGCTGGGAAGATGAAATGACTAGGCACTTACAGCTTTAAATAAAATAGGATCAAATAACTAATGAGGAAGAAAGATTGGAGAGTTGAGCAGTAAAATACCAGTGTTATTTGGTCTTCTTAGTATGAAAACAAATTTCAAACAAAAATGTAGTATAGGATTAAAGAATAGTTCTGCTCAACCATTTCAGAAACTTCAACAGTGTTGCTACAAATAGTGAACTTTTCTGTAGCAGCATTTATATATTCTGTAGCAGATTATAGTAAGGTTATGTGGGGTACATGCAAGGCAGAACTGTAATGGTAGACTATAGCATTTAGAGCAGATGAAATGGAAGAGAGAAACTAAACGTGTGATGAGTCAATACATTATCCAAATGAGACTGAACAACAGTTGTTAAGTAAGTGAAAGTGTTTCTTTGACTCTGAGTAGATAAAACGCTGATCTCTCCAAAGGTTCCACACTGTGTAATTTTTAACCACACACACAGTCATGGAAGGTTTTAAAAAACATTTATTATAGAGTTAATAGGATGTTATTTTACTTAAAATTTCTTAGAAACATGTCTATTGAGATGAGAAAAAGCAGCATCTATCAGCACAGAGACTGTATCTGTTAATATTTCAAAATATTTTTAGTGTTTTAATGCTCCTTGCTGAAAAATCAAAACATTATCCCCACCAAACAACCTATTAGAACATTATCCTTGAGTGCTGTTTTGTCTCACTGCTTAATATTCTCTCAACAGCAATAAAACAAGTCATCTTCTGAATTTCAGTGCTAATGCATTTCCAGAAAAATCTGAACCACAAGCAAGTGGGATGTAGTAAAGCCACATCAGACAGTCTTCAGAAAACCGTCAAAAGGGCAAACAACCCATAAAATAAGGCACAGGGATAAGCAACAAGAAGCTGTTGTCCTTCCATCGCCAAGGCTGAAATGAAGATCTTAGAAGCTGAGAGACTGCACCAGGTGATGATGAGCAGGGCTGACACAGTTCCAAGGGTGCCCCTGTAGCAGAGACAAAGATGACAACTGCCTTATGCATTGAAGAGAATGGGGGAGACTGAGTCAGAGATGCCTTTGAAATACCAGTGGTGCATTTGTTCAGAACATCAGCCTTCATTTGCAAAGATGAATGATTAGTTGGATGAGCTCACAAGACCTCAGCCAGTTAGAAAATATTTCATTAAAATCCACTGTTTAGGACATATATTTTATGTTTGAGTAAATCTAGAACAAGCAAAAGCAGAAACCACTGTTATAATCAGTGTCATTCATCAACATCCGAATTTTATTCCCATTTAATGTAATGTGTTTCTAAATCATCTGTTATGCTTAACATTTTGTTGCTAGCAAGAGCTGGAAGTGGGAGAGCTAACTTTGGGAGAACCTAGAGGGACAAAGTTTGGTCAACCAACACCTAAATCTCATTCTCTTTTCTCTAGGGAACTAAGATGAGCAGCTCTGTGCTACCATAGTTTCCTTCTCATCATTTCTGCCTCTCCACAGAAGAAACATAACAACCATGTCATGACACCGAGAGCCTTAGTAAATCTCTCCTCTTTTTAAGATCATTTCCTCAGGTATTTGTCACAGATTTAAGACTCTAACACATAGATTATCCCTTAGAATTTCAGGATGAAATCATCTAAACTTCTGGGTATTTTACAAAACTGAATTTTATGAATAGTTTCTCTCTTTGTCCTTTAGCATCCCAGTCATTTAAGATGCTCTAAATACAGTAGTCACTGAAAATATCCCTTGACACTCAGATTTTAAAATGGTACATCATTGTATTTCTATTTTTCCAAAATATCGAATTGTAAAACCAAACCACAAGAATCTGTCAAAGTTCTGTACAGTACAGCACTGTAAACAGAATAATCTGCTAGGGCCCACAGTTACACAAAAGCAGTATGTTTCTGTGGATAAAACACAAGAAGCATAACTTGTACTTATACAGTCATAGTGTCCATTTCCTGTCAAGTTCTTTTGTTAAACTGGAGTATTCATTGATAAAACAGTGTTTGGCTCTAGTAATTCTCAAGAATGTTACAATAAAAAAGAGACCATATTTGAACAAGACAAGCATAAGCATTCACTTTCAGTAATTTCATAAGAATAACTATTCATGATGACAAAAATATCATAAGTTTTTGCTTCTCTAACCTGATTAACCTTGTAATGATAAACTCTCTATATGATAATGTTCTTTCTAATGTAATATTAATAACCTAAGACCAAGAAGAAGATGCAAGTCACATCTCCTTTGGACATAAAAGAATGAGAAAAGGGGTAAGTGTTTATTTCCAAATGTTTTGTAGACATGACAGGTAGCTGTGAAGAGGCTTGCTCGTTGTCACTGTGTGCTAGTGTTATGCCTGAGCCTTGGGACAGTGCTGTGGGAAGCACATCTATGGTATCTTTATGAATAGTTTAGAATTGCAAATGCCAGATGCCTAAGTGAAGAAAGAAAATGGGGAAAAATGTATAAACTGAACATGTATGCCATAAGTTCTCCAGGATTAATATCCTCATTGGAGTTTCTGGGAATTCTCAACTGTGAGGTGTCCAGCTGAGAAATAACAGTTGCTTTTGCCTAGAAGGCAGATGTTTGGGCACTGAAGTAACTTGTCAGAATTCAACAGGCATTTACTCTTCCAAAATCAAATAAGTGAATTTTCTGCAGTTGTTCTATTACCCATGCCAGTAGTTGAGATTGAAGAATGTGACAACTTAAAAATACCAGTTTTAAATATTACATGGTTGGATTTATTTTTTTTAAACCAGTTTTTTTTTTTAAAAAACTGTGGCAGCACCACAGCCAAACTGACATTTTTTGTTGTTGTTTTTGTTTTCTCTGAATCTATGTACAGCTTTTATTAAGCATGATTTCCCTCAGTTACATTAGCAAAATGTTAAGAAACCTTCATGACTGCCCTGGTATGGAGGGCCTGGGCAAAGATCATGTATGTGGGGTCAATCAGTACAGATACTTACTGAAATGAAAAGAAGATGGCACAGCTTGACAAGATGACCATGGGCAGCAAACAGTAGCCCAGTACACTGGCCACACAGCCATATGACACTCCTGCAGAACTCATCAAGTTTAGTAAGGTGTGAATCCCCAGGCAGCCAATGGCACTCATGCCATATATGTAACCAAATTGGGCTTTTCCTGCCTGAAACAAAGCATAGAAAACAATCAGAAATCACAACAGATGTGAGGAGAAATCAGAATAACTACAATATCGAGAACATTCAAGGGTCTACTCAACACTGCTGAATACCATTCATTGTAGGTACTATCTATCACCAGGGCACTGAGGATTCTGGTTAAAAGAAAAGAAAACACTGTCTGTGTCATGAACTCCAAATAAGCACACTGAATACATATATTTATATGTGTATATAAAATATTTGGGATGGGCTAGGCATGCTACAGAAAAGATAAATATTTCCAGCATGATTTTTATTATACATTTTTGATAGAGAATGCAAGGAGTGAAACATGTATATTTCTGCCCCATTTTTACTGAACAGCTGAATGATTAAGCAAAAGACTAAAACATCTAATCTGGTCTTAGGCATTTACAAGTAGTATCAGAAATACCCTTTAGATTTAGTTTCAAATTTTAACAAATGTTTAATATTGAAATAGAAAATATATTATCTGTGTTTTTCCCTCAAATATCTAGGATCCTTGCTATAAAAATTACCCATATTAGCATATCTTGATCTAAAATACTTAGTCTTCTAATCAAATGCTTAAAAAGTTTTTCCTTGCCAAGAAGTGGTGGCACACACCTTTAATCCCAGCTCTTGGGAGGCAGAAGCAGGTGTATCTATCTCTCTGAGTTCAAGGCCAGTGTGGTCTACAGAGTGAGTTCTAGGACAGACTCCAAAGCTACACAGAGAAACCCTGACACACACACACACACACACACACACACACACACGCATGCACACACACACACACACACAAAGAGCCCCATACCTTGTAGATATTGAACTGAGCTACATCCCCAGACTGATTTTATGAGACAGGATATATATATATCCTGAATACTGGAATGACGGACATGTAGCACAATACCCCAACCTAATTGTAATTTTGTATTGCTTAAGAACATTGCTTTTCAGACCATACCAATAGCCCTACCAGAACAGGCGAGAATTTCTTTAAATCTTATGTTGTTATAGGGTAATGAAAAACATTGGAGTCACTGTGGTTTGTTTGTTTCCTTAATGCCTATGTGTTAAGGATTTGGATGTCTGTAGTGCTTTGAGAAGTTGTGGACCCTCTAAAAATTGACTCTAGTAGGGAGAAGTAATGTTACTAGAGGCAAGTCTCTTACTTCTTGGTTGCAAGAGGTAATCACACTCTTATAGATGATTGTGAGTCTTACATGTCCAGAAGCACTTCATGAATTTGAATATTGTTTCTGAATTTAGCTTTACTTTTGTTAACATAATGGATGTAATAGCCTGTGAAATGAACTTTTAATTATAGAGGCAGAGTAGAGCAATGTTAACTTGGCAGCAAATAAATTCGTACTGAAGTCTGAGTTCAGGTAATATCAAGTTGCAGTGTTTGGAATGTCATTGTTGGTTTGTATCTATCAACATTAATTCTAAATTTATAATTATTAATGAAAAGAATTTAAGGGCTAATGTTTATATAAAATATTAATGATATGTATTTTCAAACATTCCCTATAATCATAGAGCCACAAGAATCCTGAATTTCTTGTAAACCATGTTAAAAAAATGTAAACTCTTTTTGTCTTGAAGCAAAGAAATGAAGTCATAGAAATCTGCAGACAACATATTAAGATCATAGTTATTGGGAGTTATAGGTAGAATTCATTTTATCACCTTCAGTTAAGATTAATTTATTTATAATGCTTTGTATTTAAAACACAAGAGAAAATGTTTAAATAACTTAGCATTAGGTATCCAAGAGTGATCTTGATGATGGAATTAACATTGTTTTTTAAGAGATGATAATCATAATACATTCCATAGAAAACAAACAGCTATTATATTAAAATGTCTTGCAAGGGAAAGAAGAATTAATAAATTGATTGTTTCTGACTATTTGATTAATTGGCATGGCCTTGCATAGCAGCTTAATTCAAGATTATCACATTACTGTGAAAAGGAGAAGAAGGGAGTCCTAAGAATAGGTGGGAACTCTAGTTGATGGTTGTTTGAGTTAGAGTGTATTCACATTTTAAGTACTTCAAGGAAGGAGGTTGTTTGCCCTGTGCCGTCTGTCATGCTGGATGAAAAGGATGTGATCATTGAACACACAGAAACCATATTTCATTCAGTATCTTGGCTGGCTCAAAATGATAAATATAGCTAAGGATAATAGAACATGTATGTAGTCACACATAGTTTTAAGAACACATTTGATAGTTATAGCTGCTTTACAAGAAACTGCTTTTGTATGTATGTGTATGAGGTGTTGCTGCATATGTTCATGTGTGTATGTGTTTGTTTATGTGTGTGCAGGCCACTTTTTTTTTTTTTTTTTTTTTTTTTTATGAAACAGGGTGTCTTACTGAGCCTGTGGCTCACACACTTGCTAGACTATTGACTGGGCATCACGGTCCCCAGTGCTGAGGTTATTACCATTCATCTCTAAACCCGGTTTTTATGCGATGGGATCTGAGCTCGTGTCCTAATGCCTGTTAGAAAGAAAATCTCTTCTTTTCTAAAAGAAATCGCTTCAAAATTAGCACTGATGAAGACAAGGCCTGATATGTCTGGTTATCTGTTAGAAGCTACCATAAGCAGCGTGGCTCCCAGGGCCACACAGAAAAGAATGGGTCCTGTGAGATCTGTTTCGTTCATGATGCTGCCATCTGCTGGCTTCATCGGGTTTAGCACTGTCAATGTTTTCTGCCATATGTGATCAAAATTAATTCCAAGTTCTGCAAAAAAAGAAAATAAATAGTCCAAGGTAAATATAGGAAACAAGAGTTATATTATTTCAAGTTTGTATAACTATTCTTTTGCATGGCATCTTAAGATGATTTCTCTATTTTGTTCTTATAATCCAGTTCTAAAGTTTGAGATACTAAAGGGAGCAAACAATACAACAACACACCTAAAGAAATAGTATATATATATATATATATATATATATATATATATATATATATGTATGTATGTATGTTGAGGAAATTTTTATCTGGTTCATGCAGCAAAATCTTAATACTATTTAAAAAAATGAATGGTCATATAGTAAAACCTACCATTGTAGCTAACAGACTGTGTCTCAATTGCCCCTTCAGATATTTTCTCCACCTACATTTCCACCTGCTAGCATTTCTGGAGTCATGCCATATCACCCATGGCATAACTGGTTAATGACACTCAGTTCAGGTCTAGAGTTTTCCTTCATTCTGCCTAACACAAACATTAACCGAGGGGGAGGGGAGGGGTCATGAGAACAGGAGGGAATGAGATGGCCAAGTAGGAAGGAATGCAGTAGAAGAGCAATAAAAAGAGATACATAACTAGAGAAAGCCACTATGGGCTCAGGGAGAAACCTGGTTCTAGAATAACTCCCAAGAATACACAAGGAGGACCTCAGATAAGACTCCTAGCAATGGTGGAGATAATGCCTGAACTAGCCTACTCCTGTAATCAGATTGGTGAATAACCCAACTATCAACATGCACCTTCATCCAGTAAGTGATGGAACTAGACACAGAGATCCAAAACCAGAACCAGGCCAAATTCCAATAATCCAGTAGAAGAGGGAGGGGAGGAATACATGAGCAAGGGAGGTTAAGATCATGATGGAGAAATACTTAGAGACAGCCAAACGAAGCTTGTGAAAACTCATGAACTAAAGACCTACAACTGTGGAGACCCCAGAGGACTGAACTAGTAGGCCCTCTGTATATGGAAGGCAGTTGTGAGGCTTAGACTAGCTGAGGGGCCCCTGGCAGTAGGACCACAATATAAACCTGGGACATGAGCTAGCTTGTTGGAGCCCGCTCCCTATGGTGGGATGCCATGCTCAGCCTTAATGCATGGGAGAGGGGCCTGGCCCTGCCCCAACCTATTGTGACAGACTATGTTGATGCCTCATGGGAGCCGTTACCCATGAGGAGGAGTGGGTTGGGGAGGGGGCTAAAGAGGAGGTGAAAGGCATGGAAGGAAGCAAGGGGTCTGGAGGAGGTGTAGGAGGGAGATCTGTAGTTAGAATGTAAAATGAAATTAAAAATTAAAAATGGCAAAAAGAACAATAACCTTGCTCTAAATTGATAAAAGTCCACAAGGAAGAAAGGCAAAGAGGTTTTGCAGAGACCAGTGACCATGATGTACATGCAGATGTTTATAAATCAATTGTAAGATTGAATCAATATATTCAAAAATCAAATAGTATGGGCAAGTTAATCTTTTACTTTTTATGAGTGAGGGTATTAGAATGAAGTTACCTCACTAAAGTAAGCTCTGATTGATTGCTCAGGATTTATTGGCCTCTCAAAATCTACAATAATTAGTCTCACATACATACGATAAAGGCAGTGTCGATTTATTCCTGTTATACATCAGCTGTCTTGGATTTTGAGAGGTAAAGTAACTTTCAGAGTCTAAAAGCAAGTAATAGAAAATCCGTTTCCACATTTGTAGGGAGCCGTCCCTGCATTCTCCATTACAAGATGGTGCCTGCATCCGGCTGGCGTTGAGAGTAAACAAGTCAGTGCACAGGTGCAGGGTGATTTTCCCTCCCTTGGCCTCTGCCTCTCCCGTGGCGTCATATGGGCCGATGGGCTGCAGCCAATCAGGAGGTGACACGTCCGAGGCGAAGGTTGTAAACCTATATAAGGGTTGGGTTTTGGATGTTTGGGGTCTCCGCTCTGTAAGCTTATGCTCTCCCTCTCAAGATGCATTAAAGCTTTACTGCAGAAGGATCCTGAGTGTGCCGCGTCGTTCTTGCTGGTGAGACGGTAGTGCGGGACACACATTGGTCAATCTCACATAAAGCATTGAGAAGTCAGGTCCACATGAAGCTAATATATCTGTCTGTCATCTATATATCTGTCATTCTATCTGTCTGTCCATCTGTCTATCATCTATCATTTATCTGTCACCTATTTATCTACTTTATTACATCTTTCCTGTAAGAAAGGCCACTTTCCTAAACTCAATTGTACATCTATCTATTATCATCTACCTATCAGTCATCTGATTTATTCAATCTTTTTTATGAGAAAGGCTACCCTTTCTAAATTTAACTGTACTCCCAAGCATGTACAAATATCTCTGGTCAGATGACTATTTATTTATGTAAAGACACTAAGTACCAGGCAAACTATCTCCTACTGAGCTACATCTCCATCCTCAGATTTTTTTTTTTTTAATGGTGGAAAGTACCATTTAAATATTTTCCAAAGTTTATATTTTGCACAAGATGGATTTCTAGTGATCCTCATGTCATGGAGGGGCCTTCTTTCAACAATTCAGAAACTGTCAGAGAACACTCAGATGAGCTAGCATAGGGAGGTAAACTTTTATGCATACAGTCACCTGGTTGAAATTTGTCATCCTAAACACGGGGTAGGGGACTACTTAATTTATTGAAGATATAGATTAGACTGTGTGTGTGTGTGTGTGTGTGTGTGTGTGTGTGTGTGAAGGCCTAGATTCCCCCCCCCCCAGAAGTGGGTTAGGAAAAAAAGATAAGCAAAGACTGAGAAAAATGAACATTACTAAACAGTGAGAAACTGAAAGCATACATTCACATAGAATTATACAGATGGAACAAGTTGTATTTAGGAATATTTATGTATAACCATATATGCATGGAACAGCAATTAATGAAAAAGGAGGCCATGAATTTGAAAGAGGTCAAGGAGAAGTACATGAGAGGGTTTGGAGGAAGGGAAGGGGGAAAAATGATGTAACTCTACTATAATCTCAAAAAATAAAAAAATAAAAAAGTAACTTGAAAAGAGCGAGTAATAGGTAGATTTCTGTTTCCATGTTTTTCCTTTATTTACAGTGTATACTATCTTATGACCATGTATGCTGGAGGTGGTGAGTGATTCAGTAAACTTAAAAAAGGGTCAGGATTTTACCATAATTTTTTCCTCTCATATACTACATTCTGAGTGCAGTTTCCTCTCTCTTGTTTCAGTAAGACTGGGCACCACCCCTCCTATTAAGGCTGGTTGAGGCAACCCACTAGGGGCAAATGGGTCCCAAAGGCAGGTACCAGAGTCAGAGACAGCTCTTTCTTCCACTGTTAGGTGTCACACAAGAAAGACCAAGTTACACAACCACAACATATATGCAGAGGACCTAGGTCAGATCCATGCAGGCTCTCTGATTGTTTGTTCAGTCTCTGTGAGTCCCTATGGGCCTACGTTAACTGATTCTGTGGGTTTTCTTTGGGATCTTTGACCTCTCTGATTCCTATAGCTCTTCCTCCCCTTCTTAAAGATTTCCCAAGCTCTGACAAATGCTTGGCTGTGGGTCCCCATATCTAACTGTTGCTGAATGAAGCCTCTGTGGTGATGAGGCTCTTGTCTATGAGTATAGCAGAGCAACACCAGAGATCATTTCATTGATTCATTCTTTGGTATGTTTGGTTCTATCCTTGCTCTCTGGGCTGTCCAGACTCTGGGTCCTGGCCCTCTAGGTAGTGTCAGGGGTGGGCTCCCCCTCGAGACATGGGTCTTAGTCTGGACCAGTATTGGTAGGCCATGCTCATAATTTCTGTGCCACCTTTACCTGAAGGAAGGACAAATTGTAGGTTGACTGTTTTGTGTCTGGGTTGGTGAAGGCTTTCTTGGTTACAGGAGATGGCTAGTTAAGGCTCTGTAATTCCCATTACTAGGAGAGTTATTTAAGCTCACCCTTGTAGATTCCTAGGAGTTTCCATTGCACTAGGTTTTTCAAATAGCAGAAGACCATAACAATTGAGAAATATCACAGTTTAAATTAATTTTATGCCAGGATTATATCACTTTCAAATTTCATTTTCATTGTTTATTAAAATTAAGTACCTTGGGTACAAATTGCCCCCTCTTTTCCCTTAATAAAAAGCAAAAGTTATTTCTTGAAAAAAAAAACCTCAGAGAAAAGGTGATTTATGCAATATCATTACTGATTTCTATCTTTTATTTGGTGGCATAATTAAGATCTGCACACATTTCAGTACTGAGTCATGAAATTGTGAATGGATGTAGGGTGTACTAAATATTTTTATGAGAAAAATTGTGTTTTCAACTGAATATATATGTCTAAAATATTTTCTTTTCAAAACTATTACAACACAGCCATTGTAGGAGCCCCCAACATAGCATCTTATTGTGTAAAACAGAAGATAAAGCCACTATAAAACTTGAATGTAAAATTTATTGTTTTGCTGTCATCTAGTGGTTGTAAAGTATATGACATGAAGTATAACAGCGAATTAAGATCTTTATTTTTACATAAATTATGACACTGACCTTTCAGATATAAGTATCAGCCTGTGCTACAAGGAGAAAACAACAAATACCAGTACTTTTTCTAGCTTAACATGCTAAGGTTGACCATTATCCTAAGATGAATGTTTAATTTTTACTTTATATTTATCATTTATGAAAATATGAACCAAAAATATCACTGTAACAATGTCTTATTTATACTCTAACAAATAAAGCTTGCCTGAAGGGTAAAGGGCAGAGCTAGCCACTTGTTAACCATAGAGGTCTGGAGGTCTGTACAGATAGACAGGAAATGAGAGGAAGTGATAAAGTGGGAGGAGACAGGAACTCAGTCTCTTTGACTAGGAAGTTAGTGAGGCAAGGTGGTTGTGACTTACCCTTTCCTCTTTCTTATCTTTCAGCATTTTCCCATATGTCTGACTCCTGGTTTTCATAGTCCCACCTATATTGCCTTCCTATTTGCCACCAATGCTTTATTCATTAACCAATAAGGGAAACATATTTACAGAATGACATCTCCCATCACTATTACAGACATATCCCAAAGAATGCACAGACTGAAATATTTTAACTCTGATGTTCATCAAAATATTACTATTGTAGGTTACAACCATTGAGGCAAATTTAAATTGTGGTACCTGAGTTTTACAAGACCATTATAAATCATATTTTCTAACATTTAATGACTTTAAAGAACTCATACTGTGGTGATACCTTTCTTGCATAAATAAAACCTGTCTAGGGAACAGAGAATGGAGCTTGCCACTAGCTAACCATAGAGGTCTAGAGGTCTGTACAGAAAGGGAGGAAGTGATGTAGCTGGCCAGTAACAGTATATAAGCAGAGACAAACAGGAAATCGCTCTCTTCTCTGTAGAGATGCTCAGGAGGTAAGGTGTGCTGTGGCTTGCTCCTTCTCTCTCAGCGTTTCCCTCTATATCTGACTTCTATTATCTAGACCAAGTAAGAACTCCATTTTACATCACACATAAAAATGATCATGATACAATTATTGAAAATAAGAGCAAATATGATTGTATGAGGTAACTTTATTTTAAAATACTCAAAACAAGTAATTTCATTGAAAAAATAGTACATCCCTTTGGAATAACTGGGTGTGTACACACATAATATGTGCACACCTAAAAATTAGGATAGTAGCTGGAAAGAAACATTCAAATGTTTCATGGTAGTTAATAACTAGAGATAAGATTTTAACTGTTTTATATAGTGACTTATCTATTTCTACATTTAGTGAATGCACTTAGGCAATTTATGGTTCTTTTAAGGTAAAGATGTTGGTAGAGTAAAAAATACTTAGTGAAAATAGTGTATAAGCTTAAATTGTTTAGTAATGTAAAGGAAAAATAGAATGAGCTGTATCATTCAGAATTCTTTAAATCTTCTCTAAATCTCTTGTTTACATTTTTAAGCTGAGGAAGAAGACTGTGTTAACTCTGGTAGTTACTGAATTCAAATGAGGTAAACAATATTCTTTTATGGAAAATATTTCTAAATATAATCTTCATTTTCACCTCATTCCATTCAGAGACAGTGTGGGTACAGAGGACTTGGGGGAACTTACCACTGAATAATTATGCTTTTTTTCTAATGTAGATCCAGTAGAGTTTTGATTTATTTGTTTGGGTTGTTAATTCCAGCAAAAATCAAACAAACAAACAAAAGAAACACTCTTAACAGAGATATAGAATACCTAGGTATGAATAGAAACTTGAAACTTCCTGAAATCTATATGGACCTTCAGCTCTAAGAGTCCTGAGTATCCTTGCTAAAAGCATTGTTATCAACTGGAACTGTATTCTCCTTCACCTAGCTTTACCAAGATGAGGAGAGATAGAAAGAGCTCATGAGAGCCAGATAAGTAAGAGTTTAGCTTGTCTCCATATCAACCACAAAGAAATATTAATTTGAGAAAATGTCCCCTTTGCTTCCAGGCAAATAGTAAAGAATAAAATGATGCTGTTATGAAGTGCATTCTTAGATGGTTGAGAAGTAATGTTACTTTGATATAAACATCTTTCCATAGCATGTTATTCCTATTTATGCAAGGCCAGAGTCCAAATCTAAGAACCATTTAAGAATTAAATAATAGCAACAATCTCACAACAATAGAACAAGCCTGCTTGAAACTTCACCCAATAATACAACAAACTTGCAGTGGTTTAGATGTGTATGTCTTGGTTTGGCAAACTGTTGCTAACTGTGCAGCAATTACACACAAAGCACTGTATGCAACATTGTAGCAGAAAAGGTTAAGCCCTGGTTATTGCTATAGTTCTCTGAGGGGTGCACACCTTAAGAACAACAGTTCCTTGACTTGCCTTCTAGCAAAGGACGCTCTCCATCAAAACCATCATCTGAAGGAAATTGTGGATAATAGTCTGAGTTAGATGCTGGCTGGAAGATCTGCCCTGCATAACTTGATGGCAGGAACATCTCTGGAGGAGCAGAAGAGGAAGGATGCTGCTGCTCAGTGGCTTGTGTTCTAGAAAATTAAAAATGCCTGTTTTATGTACAAGAAAAGAATGTCCTGACAAATCAAGGAAGGTAAGAACAATTTTCCTCTTAAGAAATTCATCTAATTTTAAGAGCTACTTACCAACAAAATAATGAACCTGCTTAAAAGTTAAGTTTAACTAAAAATTTTGAAGTATGGATTCATGAAAAAGCTTCTCTAAAGTGACCTATGGGATGTAGGTTTGTGTTTGTCTTTCTGCCTCCAGTAACTGATAGAAGCAGATACAATCACCCACATCCTAGCACAGGGCTGAGCTCCTGGAGTTCAGTTGAAGAGAGGGAGGAGGGATCACTTGAACAAAGGGGGTCAAGACCATGATGGGGAAAACCACAGAAACAGCTGACCATAGCTAGTGGAAGCTCTTGGATTATGGACTGAGAGCTGGGAACCTGCATGGGACTGAACCCTAGTTCAGAATGTGGGTGACACTCATGGACTTGATTTGTTGGAGGGGCCCTGGTAGTGGCACCAGGACCTAACCTGGGAGCATGAACTGGCTTTTTGGAGCCCATTCCTTAGGGTGGATACCTTACTCAGCCTTGATACAGAGAGCGGGTAGGTGGGTTTGTCCTGCCTCAACTTTGTATGCCAGACTTTGTTGACTCCACAAGGAAGGCCTTATACCCTATGAGGAGTGGATGGAGGGGGTAGAAAGGGAGATGACGGGGGGAGGGGGTGATAGGAGAAGGGGTAGGAGGGGGAACTTGGGTTGATATGTAAAATTAAAAAATTTAAATAAAAGTGATGACCTAAAATAACAGTATTAAGCAAGCATATGCAATGTGCTGGACACTGCCCCTTCTTTCTTACTTAAAATTCTAGGGTCAAAACTGTACTTTAAACACCATTTTACAGAAGAATAAATAGAGTATCAAAAGAAAATGACCCACAACAGCCTCATCCTTGGGTTTCTGGACAGACATTGCATGAGCAGGGCTGTGCCCCCTCTGTAAGATGTCTTCCTTTCTGCTCTTCATGAGGGAATTGTCAAAATTAAATTTTCTAGACGATTGCAGAAATAGCTAATAAAAATCATAACGTAGTATCTCCAACCCAAATGTAATCAAAATCTATAAAATCCTCTGTTCACAGAGAAATCTACTTTCCACTATTGACTGACTAGTCCCAGAAAATCACTGTTTATCAAATTATCCATGAATGCCCACAGCTCCTTGAGAAGTATGTGAGTTGCTAACTTCTGAAACTCTTTTTACAAGGAGCAAACTCTTTTTTACAAGGAGCAATGTACTTTTTGCCAAGGAATGCTGTTTTTTTTTTTTTTTTTTTTTTTTTTTTTTTTTTACATATCCATGAATGTGTATTTGTTTTATCATAAGCATGAGATACATGAAAAATATTGGATCCTTATATATAACTCTTGGAGTTGAAGGTACAGACAGATTTCCAGAACCTTCTATTCATTTATTCCTATTCATACCCAGGCATTCTATGACTGCATTTAAGAGGTTTTGCTGGAAGAAATAAAAAGAGAATTATTTATTTATTTAGTTCATTTTTCATAGTTTTCAATTATAGCAATGGAAAGAAAAATTAATAACTGCCTATCATATTCTTTTTTATCTTTAGTTTTAGTTTGTTTTAACAAAAGACTCATACACTAGGATAAATATAGAGTTTAAGATGCTGAAATTTGAAATTCTTGAGATCTCTTTATACTAAAATATTGTGGAAAATATTTTAAATAATTTTCTTTTATGATTAATCTTAATATAAATTCAAAAAATCATATTCAAATTTATAGGTATTTAACCTTGACCAAAAATGGCCTATCTTTGCAAGTAAAACCACAGAGATAGAGGGAAGAGTCATGTCATCACTCACTAACCCAACAGCGATTCATTAAAGATAGAGATGTGATCTAATACCTTCAAATCCCTACAGCACACATACTGATTATTGTAGCTATTCCCAGTCACACTCATTTTTTTTTTCAATGTGGGCTGGACCCAGGGCTTATAATTGGTTCAAGTTCAGGCACACTGATTCATTATATTCATGAATTTTCCTCATTTAGTTGCATTTACATATCTAGCAATTTGTCGTCGTGATTTCTGAAAAATGTTGACGTGATTAATCAAATGTGGAAAGAATTTTCATTTGAATGGAATAAGAGAGCTTAAGAATAGTGACTTAACTTCATCTCACTGAACTTTATTTTAGTCAAAAATTTAGGTAGTACACAATTAGAAATGCCACTTGGAAAAGAGAATGGATAAAAAAAAAATATAGGGATTTCAAGGCAATGTGCTTCTTTCCATGAAACAGGGCACCTGAGATGAAAAGCCTATTACATTTTCTCATTTTGCATTGTCACACTAACCATTCTAAAACAGCCTCATACTCAATGTCCTTACCCATCCTCAAGTACCCTTTTGCTGTTTCTTTATCTCTCAAAGTATAATTGATTATTGGTGGAATGGGATGAAATCTCACATATTCACCATTTCAGGGAGTAGAAACATTGTGCAACAGTACCTTTCCATTTCAGTTTAGAGCACTACTCAGTAATGAGTGTAACATCTACTGCATGTGTGTAAGATGATCAGTAAAAATATGGTCCACGTTTTCCTAGACGGAGATATACCGGACACCTTCCAATCACATAGAATCAATCAACCTTAGACCCCAAACCTCAAGTCTGTTACTTACTAGCTGTGATTGTTAATATTTATTGTCAGTAAAGTTGGATTTAGAATCAATTAAGAGACAAACATCTGGGCATATGAGGGAGACTCTAGATTGAATTAATTGAGGTGGAAATACACATCCTAATTTAGGGATTCAGCACTATGGTACCCTGACCTGAACAAAAGGATAAAGTAATGTGAACACCAGTTTTCATCTTCCTTTTTTGTTTCCTGACTGTGGCACAATGTGACCAGTAATCTCAAACTGCTGCCTCTGAGTCTCCTCCCACTCCATGATGGACTGTAGCCTCAAGTCATGAGTCAAAGAAAAATAAAACCCAAAAACAAAATAAAGCTTTCCTTTCTTAAGTTGCTAATTTTGTCACAGCAACAACAAAAATAACTGACTAATAACATTTAAAAATTATCAATTTATCTTTGTGACAGGATTCTCAAAAGCAGTAGTTTTATCAGGGTTCCAGTGACATCCTCAAGAAATCTCAAAGCAGTTCATAACAAAGAGACAGAGAACTGACTCTGTAGACCAGGCTGGCCTCAAACTCAAAGAGATCCACCTGCCTCTGCTTCCCTCCTGAGTGCTGGTATTAAAGGAGTGTGCCACCACCGCCCAGCTTAATCATGATTTTTAAAAACTACAAATAAAATATTAACTTGGCAGGAGCACCAAATGAAAAAGTATTCACAGAAAATCGGGGTAATTTATCTGTCCTTTCTTGTCATTTAGTGGGGGATACTTCATTGACAACTGCTCATTTAACTTGGCCTTTTCTCAATAGAAGTTACCTAGCAGGAACTGACTGACCAAACACAGATATTTCTGAAAGTGGGAGTATGTTTACTCACTGTAAAATACTTACTCTCTAGATCCATAAAAAATTCCATAAGCAATAGAATCATTACAACTTTGCTCCTGATTATCAATGACATAATTAGATTGGTAAAAGTCCATGTCATGCTCTTCCAGGTTTGACATCCTGAAAAATTAAGAGTTTATTTGTTTTTTTACTTAGCTTGTTAGCCAACTGAAATTTTTGAAATATATACAAAGATTAACTGATGGTGTGGTTATAGTTATCTTCCTAACAAAGGAGATATTATTTGGAAGAATAAATTAACTATTAGGGGAAAAGCAGGGCATATATGCTGGAAAGTCACTAACAAAAACTCTCATCTTCAGCTACTTTATTAAGTTTTTACATTTTCTTATTGTGACTGTAAGTTGACAGTGATTTTTTTTTCTAAAAGAAACCATCAACATTTTCCCACCATGTTTAAAGGAATATTTTAAGCTTGGTGTGGTACACATCTACAAAATTATCCTAAGCAATGCAAGCTTCTCACTTAAAAAAATGAGTCCCAAGTACACAGACATGTACACAACACAAAGAGGGCAGAAAGTAACAGCTGATACTATTAATATTTTTTTATTTTAATTTTCCCAGAGACATAAATTTTACTAAGCATCTTCTTAACTCACCCAAACAACAACAACAACAACAACAAAAAACTTCTATAAAATATTTTATAATTCTACTTGGGAAATCCTTTTAACTATATGGAATATTTTCTTCCTTTTTCCCAGGATCTACCCATGGGTTCTTGATGAGTCAGAGAGGAAAAGACTCTGTATTGCTAGGCTAAGGACATAGTCCTTTTACCGACACTCACTACTTAGTTTCTAGTCACTTCTGGTGATTCAGAGTACATGACCTTTACTCTTACTAAAGCCAGAAACACCAGATGGAAAAAAGAAAAAGAGTTAAAGAAATGACATTAGAACATATTAGAAAGGCATGATGCCTACTTGGATAAAGATTGCAAAAGAGAGCAGATACTTTTGGATTTCTAATCCTATGTTTTTGACAACTATTTTTATTTTAAAAGAGAGAATTTAAAAACCATGGGAGTAATCCATTTAATTACAGTCATATGTGGAATACTGCCAATAATGAATTTTAAATTTTAAATTCATAAAAAGCAGCCTTAACTCTAAGAGTTCCATTCATCAGGATTATTCAACTCACAGTTGTTAAGTATATCAGCTATTCAATTCAGTAAAGTATAAAGAGCTTTGCTAAAGGTGGATGCAGCAATTCAAACATATGCTTTTATAAATAAGGACTTTTCACTGGTGCACAAAGTAGCTATGACTTATAAAAAGTAAAGCCAAGAATTAGTAATGAGTCTTTTAACTAATTATAATATAAAATATAAAATAATTACTAAAACTTAATAGTACAAGTTTCTCAGGTCCCCAAAAAAAATGTTACTATGAAACATAGAGATGGATTTCTCCGGAGAATACACTAACTTTCAGTAACACGCCAAGCTTCCTTTATGCAACAGGTATTTGAATTCTTACATAATCCCCTTTCATATTTTATTTAAACGATAAGTGTTTCAAAAACATCAGATACACCAGATACATACCTGCCTCCGTGCATCCTATGAGGAAAGATCCTTCAACAAATGTAGTTGTACTTGGGAAATGTAAACAAATCAGTAGGTGAAAAAATGTCGAACTGACCAAGTATAAAAGTTTCTAAATTTGTACTCTGACACAGTGGACAGATGACACAGCCAAGAAAGCAAGGCTGCCAACAACCAAATGTAGTATCTTATAACACTTTTTATGGTTTGCAAACACAAGGAGCAACAAGCAGACATAAATCTGATAATGTGGAGAAATAAATCCAGTATGTTTGTGTGCCTGTCCACTACACTTTGTAACAGGAATATTTATTGGAAGTAAGCCAAGAAAAACAAGGGCTTTGATGTACCTTCTTCTACTCTTATTTTCAGCCTAGTAGGATTTACTGATAATCTGTTGTCGAGCCCTATCGCCTTGCCTGCAAGAACGACGCTCAACAACAGGATTCTTCTGCAGCTATGTTTATTGCGCGGCTCATTACAGCAAGTTGAGGGAAGACCCCGAAGGAGGAAAAAGGCACTGCTTATATATGCTTTAGGGAGTCGTGTCCTAAACTGACAGGTGCAGCCCGCGATGCACGTAATGGTCACCCCATGACGTGGATCGCGCATGCGCATTGTCAAAAACAACTATACAACTATGCCTTGCTGGTTTATGGACAGGAAACCGGTGCCATCTTCGGGAATGGCACTGGTGGCTCTCTACAATCTGTGATAAAAATAAATATATAGTACTTGATCTGAACGTGAAAATCTCAGCACTGAAATAAAATGAAATAAGTTCATGTTATCCGAATATGAGAATTTTTAGGGAGAAGAATTATGGCTTGACCTTGACTTTACCTGCTTTTAATTTCTGCAGCTGAGATTAAGATATATTACTCTGATCTAGTTTTTAAATGTTTGTTTTGGCATGTGTGTTGGGGGTATGTGTAGAATGTCACATGTGTAGATTCAATGCTGGTTTCCCAGCTATCAATCTGGGGGCCCATTAGCTCCTCCTTGTTCAGGTCATCTGTCTCTGTGGGTTTCTGTAGCCTGGTTTTGTCCTTCTCTGCATCTGGATTGCAATTCAGTTCAGCGTTTAGCTGTGGGTGTCTGCTTCTGTTTCCATCAACTACTAGATGGGGGCTCCATGATGGTGGATAAACATGTGTCTAGTTAGAAGGCCTGGGAAGCCTAAGGGACCTCTGACAGTGAAACCAGGATGTATCCCTGGTGCACAAAAGGACTTTGGGAGCACATTCCCCATGGAGAGATACTCCCTTAACCTAGAGGCAGGAGGGAAGGCCTATTCTCTACTCTAAATGACTTGACAGATTTTGTTGATGCCTCCTGGAAGGCATCACTGTACCTGTGGAGTGGGGGGTGGGAATGGGATGGGAGGGTGGTTGGGGGGGGCATGGGAGGTTGGGAGAGAGGGAGGGAGGGAAAAGGGGGACAGAGGGAAAAGAAGGAGGGAAGGAATAGAGGGAGGGAGGGAGAGGGAACTGCAATCGATATGTACAATAAGAAAAATTAAAAAAAAAAAAAGAAAGAAAAAGTGTCACATGTGGCCAGTAGTTGACCCCAGGTGTCTTCTTCCATCATTCTCCATGTTGTTTCCTGAGACAGATTTTTACTGAACCTGGCTAGCTGATTGTCTAGGCTGGCTGGCCAACAAGCCCCCTCCCCCAACACCTGGGATCCTGCTGTCTTGTCTCTTAGCAGTAGGATTAGAGGTGTGCCACCACACTTGCCTTTTTACATAGGTACCAGGTATCCTATGCTTACACAGCAAGAACTTTTTAGCCATGTGCCTGCCACCTTATCACTGTGATCCAGAATGCATTCTGTCTCATTTAAGCTAATCCCAGACACTGAAGGCTTTGTAACTCATCCTTTCACTTAAAAGGCATGCACAGTTGGCTCTCTGTGTTATATCATTGAATCACTACCAAGAAACTTTACTTTAGCTCTGGCCCAGGTAAGCCATTATAGCTAATAGTCTCCATTCTTCCTGGACCAGATGACTTTGGGGGCCATTTACCCTATGGTTTGCTTTCTTCTGAGTCTTCTTTCAGGAATTCCTTACATATCTGTACATATGGTAATGGATACTGGTGGGGGAGCTGGTAGACAGAAGGAGAAAGAAACAAGGAACAAACTGGCGATTATTGTAACTATTTTCAGAAACTTAGGAAGTAAAAGCTGATGGGAAAACTGATGGTCATAAATAGTCAAAACTGTATAAACAGACAGCACAGGATATCCAGGGCCACTTGGCTGAACAACAATAAGTGGTCACAATTTCTTCATGGTGCTAACTCCACACATCTATCCCAGGTCCACAAACTCATCTGGAGCAAGGCTTCCAGCAATCCAGGATGATGTTGGAAATGAACTATGTAACATGAAGAGTAATGAAGGAAGAGGATCTTGATGATCTGTGCAAAGCTTCAACTGAACATGGATTGATTGATGAGAAAGTGGGCCCTCAGGAGTCTGTACAAATAGCATTTCAAGAAAAGGCTATATGTTGTCACATAGCTTGGCAATTTTGGATTTAAATATAAAGCCAATCTGAGTAGTAACTTTGTATTAGGGGGAGGTTTAAGGAGATAATACTGAGATGTGGACCAGATCACAAGGGAGTTATAAGTTAGGGCAAGTGATCCATATATTATTGTAATTAAAATAAGATGCTATTTGGGGTTTTTAAGAAATAGAAAGATGTGATCAGCTTTATGCAGAAATGGGAAAGAGACACTAGTTAAGTGGAGACCATTGCAGTGACACAGCATGAGATGCAAATGGCTTAAGAGGGTAAAGCATCAGGGACAGAGTTGCTACCAAAGCCATGACAGCTGAAGCATGAATGGTGGGGGTGGGGGTCATGGCTAGAGCATAAGTGTCACTGAGAAGGTTCAGATGAGGGAAATGATGAGGAAAGGCCATTGAAAATAGAGAGGTTTGATCAAGCCAGACCACCTAAAACAGAGTACCAGGTGATCCTACATTCAAAACAGCTGGACAAAGCAGCCTGACAGACTACAGCCAGGATTTCTGAATCTTCTTCGAATCCCCCATGACAGCGCCTCTTACCAGCAGGAAGTAGTTCGGAAAGAACAACGCCCAGATTCCCAAATATTGTCTATAAATGTTTGTTTTCACTTAAATGGACTTGGTTATATAAAATAAATAAATAAATAAAAGAAAATAGAGAGGAGTGAAGTGAACAAGTACTTTGTACAAAATAATAACTTTCATGATGGAAATTTTATAAATGCACATCGTTTGCTTCGATCAAACAGCAGGGGTTGGTTTCATTTAGACAAGAAGACAGATTTTGAGGATGATTTCTATAATTTGGAGTAGTTTTCTGTCTTGATAGTATAGCTATGAGAAAAGATCAAATTTATGCATAGGAGCCACAATGAGGTCATCATTTTCCTTCCCCATTCAATATTCTTTCATTCTATTATCTCATTTTAAATAACACATGTCAGCTTTATTCATTAATGGGGTCCACCCTGGTAAACACACACACACATATACTGTGCA